CATACAAAATCACATATTCATTATTTTAATTTTTAGAAACACTTCTTAAGACATCTAAACCATATTCCTTATCGAAATCTTGATATTTTTTTCTACACATTCTTCTTCTCCTCATTTCCTTCTCTCTCTAGATCACTCACTCACTTTCTCTCTCTCTATCTCTAACTCTTGGAAGGTAGAATAATGGAAGTGATGAGAAAATGGGAGGAACGGCCCTTATTTATAAAAAATGGGAGTTGTCGGATTTGCGTCATGTAGTGAAATTCGGTGAAGAGAGAGAACGTAGAAATGATAGAGATGCTTGATTTGATGCGTTACAAAAAACAAAGGAGAATCCTCAATCACCAGCGACGACACACCCCAAGCAGCAGCACGCTGCCCAAAGTGGGCGGTGGCACACTGCCTGGCGCGCGCAGGGCCTACAACACATTAGGGTGCCGCGCGCGCAAGCCTATTTAGGCCCCAGGCATGTAGGCCTATCTACACAGGCCTACTGCGGGGACGGTGCGTGCACAGTATGCAACGCTAATCCTGCCCGCGCGTGCAGGTCTGGCCCCGTCCCTTGTGCAGATGGGACGTGTGCACTGTGTGCACGTCCTGCGCTTGTCATGCGCACACGCTTACGCACAACGCGTGGTGCCCGTGCGAGTAATTCCTCTCCCGCGAGTGTTTTTTCGCGGGATTTTCTTCCTTTTTTTTGTTTTTTTAAAAATTGCGTATTTAAAAAAATAATAAATCAAAACAAAATTCAGTAAAATTAAATAAATCAAAATAAAATAAAATAATAAAACCGTCATAATTTACCAATTACAACATAAAACTACGAAATAAAATTAAATGAGTTTAGTATAACTTTAAGACTCGAATAAATAAGATTTTTCAAATACAATTTAGCATGACGGTGAGCGGGCTGTTACAACATACTTCATACAAGTACGAAAACTTGCTTACTTAAGCAATGCGTGCAAGGAAAAACCAGAATTTAAAACAAAATTTAATATATATAACGACACATTTATCTTCCATCCTTCCATCATTATAATAATATTATAAACAGATGAACACTATAACGAATAACTCAACCATTATATAAGTAAATATATATAACTCTAGAAAATATATATCATTCTCTTAAAATTATATCACTTTCTCGGTTTATTATCTAAAACACCAGATTATCCTCAAAAACCAATTCTATTGTCATATTTTACTGGTGATTTTATATTATTTTGACGACTACAAGAATACTGTTTTTCAGCCTTTAGTATTTGGATTCATCCATTTATTTTCATAATTAATCACATAACTTATGTGTGTGTGTATATATATATACATATATATATATATATGTAGATACTTTCTTCTCGTGGGTAATGTAATATGTTTCCTGTTTTATTTGTTATTTTCATGATTTTGATAATTGAGTGTGTATTTTGGTAGCAAATCGCCAAGCAGTACAAGCAGTCGTATTTGTTTCCTTGTATGTCATGATCACGTGGGAATCATAAGCATGTCAAATATATACATGCACAAACATATACATGCAGAAACATATACATACACATATATGTAGATACTATTTTCCTAGTGCCTACTACTCCATCCTTTTTCTTTTTTGTTATATCATTTTTCTTATCTCCCAACAAAGAAAATGTTTAATAAATTATCAACTCACTCTCTCCTGTTATATGTATACATGTATGTGTACGTATATCTGGACGTCTCCCTAATTCTCTTTATTCAATCCTTTTTCTTCGAAAATATTCACCTGATTTTTTTCTTGATTCTTATAATAAATATAATAAGTTTATCCAAAAAAGTAAAAAGAAAATCTGTGTATACATGCATATATAGATATACCCCCCCTGTATCTGCCCATATATGCCGATATATTTCCAAATATCATTTCAATTTCCTTTCTGGGTTCTCACTGTTTTATTAATCCCGTCCACAACCACCTCGATTTTCGATCTTCATCATGTATATATATACACACACATTTTGAGAAGAGAAGCACAAGCATTTTCAGAAAAAAAGAGCTACCACGTATATACATATACATATATATATATATATATAATATTCTGAAAGAAAAGCATGAAAAGCAGTCTGATCATGACTGTGTTTCTCTTCTTCTTCTTCTTCTTGTTTGACGCCACAACCGGCTCCCTGGTCGAGGAAACCTGTAAGAAATCCTCATCGACTAATCCAAACATCAAATACGAATTCTGCGTTACATCTCTGGAATCGGACTCAAGTAGCCACGGCGCCAAAAATCTCCAACAACTCGGCGGAATCGCCATTAAATTATATCAGCAGAACGTGACGAGTACGGCGTCGTATGTCAACGGGCTATTGAAGAAGTCGTCGGATCCTTCCCTGAAGGCAGGTCTGCGAGATTGTCTCGAACTTTATTCCGATGCAATCCCTACTCTGAAAGAAGCCGCCGAAGATTACAGCAACGGACGCTACGACGATGCGAATATTAAATTGAGCTCGGTGATGGACGCCTCGACGACTTGCGAAGATGGTTTCAAAGAAAAACCAGGTGTCGTCTCGCCGCTCACCGGTAGAAACAACGATGCGTTTCAGCTGGCTGCCATATCTCTTTTCTATTATGAATTTGGTTAAACAATGATTTTCTTTTTC